GGTGTTTGGGATCCAAAACCCAGCTCTCCTCTTCTGTTGCTCGAATCTGCCTTCAAAAACCCGACTCTGGGCGAATTACGGGCAGAATTACGGCCGTAATCACGACCTGCCCGTAATTCGCACCAAAACGCGCGTTTCACTTAAGCTGCAGGAGGAGAAGTTACGCCCGTAATTTCCCAATTACCGCCAGTAATTTGGGAATTACGGCCGTAATTCTTGGGGTCTTGCCCGTAATTTTATCACCGCGAGGGAATTCTGGGTAGAAGGCTCGGCCAATAAATTACGGGCATGCCCTGGCCAATTACGGCCGTAATTAGGCAGGGGCTGCCCGTAATTCTCTCTGTGCTTCTGTTCAAAGCTTCGTTTCTCCCTCGTCCGGACTCCAAATCAGTCGCCGTTTGAACCCAGACGCTCGTAGTCTCGTCCTCTTTCTTTTCATGACAAGCTTGCATGATTCTTTGTCCATAAAGTGAGGTAGAAATCCATTCTTCTTCAGGTCTTACCCGAGTTTCTTCTCCCGAATCGTCAATTGATCTCTGATTGACCCGAAACTTGCTCCCAAGCCTCCATTCACGTACTAGGACCTGAAATATCACAAACAAGCACAACCTAGCGTGAAATCGGCCTAAAACACGAGAAATCACATCTCAAACGGTGTAAGAACAGGGGTAAAAACATGTGTAATTATCGGTCTATCAAACTCCCCCACACTTAACCGTTTGCTTGTCCCCAAGCAAACCTAACTCAAACCAATGCAGCTCTCCAGACCTCTATATCAACATACAACCTCGATCGTCGGTAGAGGATTTCCTAGATCATATAGCAGCTTACGAGGTCAACTGGTCTTCTAAGACGTTCCCTATCTCTCTCAATGCGAGTACTAGACTCAAGCCAGGATCATGAGAAAAAGTAGAAGTAAGAAAGTCAGTTCATGGATAAAGGGACTCACACCATTCACAACCAAGGACTCGTTGTACCGGGGTGCTCTTTCACTTCATTTCACCGTTGGAACCCCTTTTTCTCACTTTCATTTACATTTTTTCTTTCATTTGGTGGGGTTCCAACTGCAGTCTTTTGCACGATCGACCCTTATTAGTCGAGCAAGAGCAATTTCTGTACATCTGGCGCTCGCCAGAGTACTTCTTTTAACTCCTTTTCCTCAACTCGTGTGGAGGGTCAATGAAATCAAGGGGGATCGGAAGCTCTATCCGTGCCCTTAAAAACACATCCTCGAGTAGGCAAACCGCTCAACGGGCGGAAGTTTTACTTGTACTAGAGACAGCTTAGCTTCACCTTGTAGGAGTACCCCACTAAGGATCACTAAAATCTCTTCCAAAACCCGATTTTGTGCAATGAACGGTGCCACACACGTTGGGCTTACCCCATGTTTAAGATTTTTGATGATTTCGACATGGAGGACCACTGCTTTTCATTTGCCACATGAGCACCCTGTTCAATACACGAGTCCATAACACAATTCAAACAGAGTCCACATTACCACATGAATTCAACGGTCTTAGCTCCACTAATTCACAAAATCAACTGACACAGCAGAGAGCTAGATAGGAAAAATCTTATACTTCAACATCCTCCATAGTGCTACACTACCTCCCTAGGTTGCACATTACTATAGAGACTGTCAATTCAAAGCATACTGAGCAGGCAATTTGCATGGAAACACGTACTTGGAGCCCTCAAATCGAAATTTGGACAGTGGACTAGGCTCCAAGCACACAAACAGCCAAACATTCACCCGCATACATAATCGAACACCCCCCCACACTTAAGCACGACATTGTCCTCAATGGAGGAAAGATAAGGAGGGTAGAACGAAGTTACCAGATCAAGGGTGAATGATGATGGACGGGGTAGGCGGTGCATTCCAGGAAGAGAGAGTAATCAGAACACAAACACCACACAAAATCTCACAAAGGTTGAGTTATTGACTCTAAAATCAAATAACAAAACTGACTCAACCGAGGAGAAATAGAGAAAGAAATGCAAACCGACTGGTTGGGTTGCCTCCCAACAAGCGCTTCTTTCACGTCGTGAGCCGGACGATGGCTCCGAAGTTTCGGTCCATGCTAGAACCTCCTTGAAGTTGAGGTTCTCGTCGATGAGGTGGAGTCTCAAGTCACGAGCATGTGGTGTGGCGGGTGATGAAGGCTCATGTACTTGATGCAGATGAAGTCTCCACTCGCGAGACCTCTTCTTCTCTTCTCTTGTCTCATTGCCCCAAACCAGATATGACAGCATCGATTGGCCACCATCGCGTCCACCGAGAGGGACCGATGTCGATGTGGCCTTGGTCTGGCAAAGAGACACTGCAAATGGGTCCTTGCCAAGCAGCTCCTCGAAGTTTGGTGGAGATATCACATGTAACTCGTGGCCGGTGCAGGCCTCTTCCACCTCAACTCCGTCCTCAGCCTGCACGCCAATTTCTTCTTCAACCTCCCTTTCTTCTACATGTGGTATCACCCCTGGGAAATGATCAAGAACTCCTCCTGCTTCACTTTCGTCATCCTCCACAACTTCTTTCTGCACCCTTTCTTGCTCTTCTTCTTCTAGCACGGATTGGAGAGCAAGTTGCCAAGCAATTTCTTTCATGAGATCTTCTTGCATCTCCTCACTCATGCCCACCTCTTCAAAGCTTGGTGTGGGATGTGGGAAGGGGTGGTCGGCTACGACATGACATTCTTGATCATGATCTTCACGGGAGCTCTCCGTGATAACTTCTGTTTGCTCCACAATGTCCTTGTAGCCTTCTACTTCCTCCTCCTCTTCTAGTATGATAGCAGAAGGGTGATCTTGAGCAGGTTGTGCATAAGCTTTCTCAAGATCCTCGAGGCTCTTCTTTATGCTCAGGAGGGTCTCCTCTGTTTCACGGTAGGAGAACCCAGTTTGGGCATTGTCTGGGATATCCATCTTTGGAAAGGAAGTCTCAGGTACTCGAGCAATCTGCTCCACGAGAAGCCTCAAGTGATAGTTTGGATCTGGCTGATGGAGGAATTCTTCTTGATAAGGAGATTGTTCTTGAAATACCCAGGGGTCTGATTGTTCTTCGTAGGATGGGGGTTGGTACTGAAACCCGAATCCATAGTCTTCTCCTCCTTGATTGCTCCAGGGGGTCTCGGGGTAATACCACTCGGATGGTGGTGGATACCCCCAATGATTGGAGAAGCCATGAGGATCCATGATTCAGATCTGCACCAACAAAAACAAAAAACACCCAAGTGAAAAGCAAGGGTGGAAAAGAAAAGAAAAACGCTAAAGTAACAAACTTCTGCCTTTCCTAATAATCTAGAAAGTCCCCGGCAACGGCGCCAAAAACTTGACACGCCAAAACACAACACCAAACTGCGACCAAGTGTAATCGCAGAATGGGACTGCAGTATAGTGGCACAAGTAATAAATATCGAATCCACGGGTCTCTAGAGTTACTATTACTCAGCTTCAGTTCATTATCTAGCAAACTAGATTAAGGATTGATCAACTAAACCACTCTACTAACTAAACTAAGTAAAACTACTAATTACAGTTTGGGAACTCACTTAGGTATGATTCCCCCTAGCTCCTCAATTAGGTCCAAGTTGTAATTCCTTTTGGTTGTTTTACTGTTGATTACACTGCGGAAGATCCGACAGTAGCTTGGAATCTCTTAAGCTGACCAAGCCCTCTCAGTCTAACTACCCGGCAGGCGACTAACCTTCACCGGGGTAGAAAGCTGAAGCAGTAAGAACAGAACTCCACTACTGGAATTAGATTCCAGTACAAAGCAGTAAACTGGCTAACTCTCGTATAGCCAATCTCCTACTATCGAATGATGAGGCTCTAGCAACCTAATCAGATTCTATCTATCTCAGGTTGCAGCAGAAATCAGGAAAAGTTGATCAGACTTCAATTGACTCAACAAACATGCATCATTCGATTATAATCAAACAATATAGCATCCAAAACTTCATACAAGAAAGATCCTAGCTCATGAAACTAGGGTTCCTCAAAACCTAAGTGAAGGGAAGTTACTCCATAGAGAAGAGAGAGACTGCAGAAATCTGATCTAGATCTTCAATCTCCATCTCCAAGCTTGATTCCCGAGCTCCAATGGCGAAGAAATCCTCCAAAATAGCTCCAAGAATGTCTCCAAGTCGCTCTCTCTCTCTAGGGTTCGTCCCTTGGGTGTTTGGGATCCAAAACCCAGCTCTCCTCTTCTGTTGCTCGAATCTGCCTTCAAAAACCCGACTCTGGGCGAATTACGGGCAGAATTACGGCCGTAATCACGACCTGCCCGTAATTCGCACCAAAACGCGCGTTTCACTTAAGCTGCAGGAGGAGAAGTTACGCCCGTAATTTCCCAATTACCGCCAGTAATTTGGGAATTACGGCCGTAATTCTTGGGGTCTTGCCCGTAATTTTATCACCGCGAGGGAATTCTGGGTAGAAGGCTCGGCCAATAAATTACGGGCATGCCCTGGCCAATTACGGCCGTAATTAGGCAGGGGCTGCCCGTAATTCTCTCTGTGCTTCTGTTCAAAGCTTCGTTTCTCCCTCGTCCGGACTCCAAATCAGTCGCCGTTTGAACCCAGACGCTCGTAGTCTCGTCCTCTTTCTTTTCATGACAAGCTTGCATGATTCTTTGTCCATAAAGTGAGGTAGAAATCCATTCTTCTTCAGGTCTTACCCGAGTTTCTTCTCCCGAATCGTCAATTGATCTCTGATTGACCCGAAACTTGCTCCCAAGCCTCCATTCACGTACTAGGACCTGAAATATCACAAACAAGCACAACCTAGCGTGAAATCGGCCTAAAACACGAGAAATCACATCTCAAACGGTGTAAGAACAGGGGTAAAAACATGTGTAATTATCGGTCTATCAGAGACCAAATTTCATTTGTGACGCCGTTAAACTTCTTGTGATGACCACACTAAAAATTCATGCAAACGAAGTTATGCATAGATGATAATATTCCGAAATTGACTTAGATAAACTGTCTTGCAAGTACCCATCAGCTGCGACCAAACATCCAAAATTCAAAAGTCTTAACATCCTCCAAAAATGACACAAAATATCCCAAATAATCCATACTTAGAATCCTACAATAGCATTAAAAGAAATTCATGCAGCAGTAGTCTCATCGGCAGTCTCCTCGTCGAACTCGTCGTCGGACTCATCGTTTCCTGAGTTTCGCCAACTCAACCATGTTCCCCATTGGCTTCGTTGTTGATATCCTATAGAGTATATAACAAGTATATTAACTTTAATGCCCATATTACATAACTTTAAAAATTATGTAATTAAGGAGTACAAAACAAAACATGACAGCAAAGTAGTTACCATGTCAAATGACTCTGGCAGCCACACTCCACGTCCCTGCAACACAGATTCGATGATGTGAGGGACTGCATTCCTCACATCTACGATCTCATTCTCCAACTTCTTCATTTTCTCATCATTTTTTCCCTTTCCTTGGTTCGATCCTCTTGACAACGCTCGTTGCAACCCTGACTCGATGGGGGACCGAAGACATCAACTGAGCGCACCCCATGTCTCATCCCTAGAACACGCTTGGGGCGTTATGGTCCTATCACTTCTTGATAGATGGCAAATCTGTTTGGATCTTTCCCTTGGTATACCTTTGCAGCCTCTGCTTCTATCATACCATCCTAATCAAATGGTAAATAACATTAATATCGATAAAAAAGACAATAAAAACGAATACAAACAGCATCCTAATCCTATGTAAGTTGCACTAACATCTAGGGGTGATAAACGGTTAGTCGGTTATCGGTTTTAACCGATAACCAAACCGATAAAGTCGGTTAGTGGTTAACCGATAACCGCTACTTCCTTATTGATTTCGGTTTCGGTTAGTAGTATTTTGGTTAGTGGTTAACCGCTAACCGATTAATCGGTTAGCGGTTAACCGATAAGAAAACTGATAACCGCCTACTAGTGTGACTACATGGTTTTTTACTTTGGCTAAGGGAAAAAGTTGTAAGATTCAAAACCAATCAAAGTTGCAATTCCAAACATCACAATTCTCACCTATTGCAAACAACCCTCCATCAAGAGTCTCAAATGTTTTTAAGAGTTAGAACTCGAAAGTCACCCCTCTCTAAATCCCCTTTGCACTCGATAGAGTGAACCTTAGGTTGTTGATGACTATGGGCTAGATGAAGATCTTGGAGTAAATGATGACTATGGGCTAGATGAATTGGAGCGAGATCCTCGGATCATTTAGGTTGATGATTTGGAGATAATGAACTTGTTATTTGTGTCTTGTTGTGATTGTGACTTGTGGTTGAATTGTGGGCATGTAGACTTTATGTTGTGGAGTTGTGGTTGATTGTGTGGTTGCTTTAGGCTTTATGTTCAATTGATTTAGATGACTTTATGGTGTGTGATTATAGAGGCTGAAACAAAAGCAGGTCACTCAAAATTGAGGGTGAATCATTAAAAAAGGTGGTTGAAATTCGGTTTTGGGTGGTCGGTTTCTGAACGAAAATCGAGAAAGTGAACCAGAACCTGCGGTTTCGGTTAACTGCAAGGGAAAACCGAAACCGATGTTTGCGGTTTTCGGTTAACCGAAGTCTCTATCGGTTTCGGTTTCGGTTAGTGATCTTGGGACAATTTTGGTTGCGGTTAACCGATATTTCGGTGCGGTTAAACCGAAACCGCACCGACTAACACCCCTACTAACATCAATATAAAAAAGACAGCAGGTACAACAACCTATGCTACTATCAGACCATCCTAATCAAAATGCAGCCAACAGTATTGAACTTACATGCAGGTCTTTTGCCTTTGAGCTAACCCAATTTTTGTCCTTCTTCACATGAAAACGTCTGAACATTTCAATAGGATCAGGTTCTTTTCCAACACCAAAATGTGGCATTAAAAACATGTAAAGTTATCACAACTCAAGCATAACATAAACATTTATACAAGTACAACAACTTACCTCCTCATGTATGTACTTGGCCAAAGGTACTGAACTGCAGTGGCTGCAAGCTCACTCTTCTCCTGATTCTCTTTGTTATTATCACTTGTTTCCTGCACAATTGAATAAACCAACATTCAGCTCACTTTGAAAATCATATTACTAGGAAAGAACAGAATATTGCATACAATAACTTACCACGCAATTCAGGTCATCCCATTTCTGGACCATTTTCCTCCAGATTGATGGAGTTATCTTGGGTGGTGGATGATTCATTCTATCATTTAGATCTTTGTACTTCGTAAATATCCGATTTCGGATACCTTACATCCATTAGGGATAGTTTCTCTTCACGTGTTGTTTGACCATTTTGTTGAACGTCTCTTCTGAACCAGTGTAAGCAAATTCAAACTCCTTGAAACGAGCTATCAGAGTCTGTAGCTCTGATGCCGGATACTCTGAGAATTTAATCCAAGTCCCAGTGATGTTCCTTTCGAATATGGCTGAAACTCGCGGCGTGCTTGAGTGGTGATTATCCTGCACATGCCATTAAAAATTATTAAAGACTTTTTAGATGAAGGTGAAACACAGGCGAGGAACAAAGGGCATCAACCCAACGCCACCACATCACAGCAGAAAATCAACCCTCATCCAAAGGACAAATAAACCCAGCAGCTCCCACTACGCTTTCCCTCATCCAAAAATGATTAAGACTTACATATTTGTTATTGAAACCTAAATAAAGAAGCAGACAGTAGTAGTGTCGTATAGGGTTTACTGACCTGTTGTCGTGAAATTCTAAGAAGAGGTTGTGACCAGGTTTGACTCCCTTTCCTGGACATCTGCCTTTTCTTTTTTTTGTGGTACCGATCACAAGTAAACAAAAGTCAGCTAATCAGGATACTTTGTCAAATCAAACTAAACAAAACAATGACAGAAGAAGGCTCACTGTTCGAACTTGCACCCTCCGACGAAGGATCCGCAGTTGATTGATGAGCATTGGAATCAACCTACTCTGGTTCTTATTCCACATGTGTAACAGGGTTCGTTCCTCCGTTCTCTGAGTTTTAGCAAAAGGAACATGATTGGTGTTCCTGCCTTCTTGTCCTTCTTGCCGACTCTCTTGAACAGGAGATGGAGAGTTGCTCTGCTCTCTTTCACGAGGTGTAGAATCTTCCCTCTACTCTGCGAATGAAGGCGTTTCTTTTTCTTTGCCATCTAGTCAAAGCAGATTTCGTGAATTGGGGGAGAAGAATGGCTAAGAAGAAAAAGAATTGGCAGAGAAGATATCAATTGACTTTTGGGTTCCTTTGCCTCCGCTGAAGCGTGATTCTAGAAATTAAGTAGGGTTTAACAACTAGCATTGGTTGTGTAGTACTGTAGTTATTGTGGTGGAAATCGAGGTAAAAAATCCCGCCTTTTTTTAGCCAGACAAAGAGCCTTTAGGATTAGGCGGTGTTTGTTTCTTTTTCTGAGTAAATCTCGTTGGAGATATACCAAAGACCACTTGTTTACATATTAATCTCCTAAAACTTAATTATTTTTTGCAATTAAGGATTAGTTCAGGAAATTGGGTAGGGCTACGCAATTAAACGACCTAATGACATAAGACAGAACAATTAGCAAAGCCAGGAAAATGAATAGATTGCATACATGAATGGTCATTTCAGAAAAAACAGCAAGAATGAACCAGTGATGCATCAGAGGCAAAATTGGTCCAGCATATTGAACCATAACAGAGTAATTAACAATGATGCACCAAATCGAGGTGAAGGATTTTCAGGCACCCGAACAGAATCCCCATTTATTCAATAATGTGCAAAGAAAGATTATTTACCTGGATGTTCGATTGATACCCAATCTCAGAGGGTTCGAAGCTGATTTTAGGGTGCATGCCTGTTTGATTTAGACCTGCAATTAGAGAAATCAAAGTGCATCTTTTTAAAGACTATACATGTCAGTTGAATTCTGTCTACGAATCAAAACAAAAGAAAGAAAAACGAACCCAGATTCCAAAAACTACAGATGGACTCTCCACCATCATTCTTCTCACTCAATATGTCGCCCGCTCCAAAACCCACACCCACCAGAGGATTAGGCTTCCGCGTCGCCTCATCTGCGCAACTCAGACCTCCGGCCCATTGGAGCAACCGGAGGCTGGTGTGTCGTCTCCTTTGCGCGCCCCAGTTCTCCAACCGCCGCAGCAATCGGAAGCACCAGCGTCGTCGCCTCCGTGCCCCCCAATCTTCCATCATCGGGAGCAACTAACGGTCTTGAAATCCCTTCAATTTCTAGGTAAGTGAACAAACTTGAACTCGGATAGGTGTTTAAGGAGAGCGCAGGCGAGATGACGAAGGAATATAAAGTGTGTTTCTTTTTTGTGAGAGAAGATGGAGTTGTGATGAGTTGATTTGATAAACAAATAAAAAGCATAATATACATAAGAAGGGCATGATACAGTTTAATTGATGGTTAGTAAGTGTTTTTCATTTCAATTTAGTTGCTAAGAAAACTCTAATACGGTTTATGGGTTGCATATATAGTTTTACTTTTCATTTAATTGAAGTGCGATAATTAAAAATATATGGTACATTTTTTGTAGGTATAAGGACAGGTGTTGATAATGGATGCAGCTTCGTAATAGATCAATTATGGAGTATGCGAATGGCGTTCAAAATTTTGTCGCGTTCGCATTTGATAATATTCGAGAATAAGACGATAAAATACGTTGTCCTTGTGTGGATTGTCGTAATGTTGTAAGAAGGGAGAAACGAGAAGTTGAGCTACATCTTCTACAATGAGGAATGTCACGCGATTACACTATGTGGATTTACTATGGAGAGAAAGATGAAGATGATTATTCTAAAGACGAGGATACGAGAGATGATGACAACGAGATGGATGTAGATGACATGTCGGGGTTATTAAATGATCTGAGACCGCATTTGGATCCTGAGCCCAAGAATCCCAATGTAGAAGCAGAGAAGTTTTTCCAACTGGTCACGGAAGCTCAAACGCCATTGTACGAAGGGTGTGATGAAAAGCTATCCAGCCTGTCATGCTTGGTAAAGATGATGCATTTGAAGTGGTTTAATTCTTGGAGTAATACCTTTTTTACACAGTTGTTGAAGTTTCTTCAATCTGCTATTTCTATGGCACAGTCGTCAATGCCAAAGAATTACTATCAAGCAAGAAGATTTTGAGTGGCCTTGGTCTCAACTATGAAGAAATAGATGCTTGTGAAAATGAATGTGTCATCTATTACGGGGAGGTCAAAGGAGCAACATCATGCCCTTCCTGCGAGAAAGCAAGGTACAAGAAAATCGATAAGGATAGAAGGGGCAGAGTGACAAAGGTGCCCTATAAGATACTAAGATATTATCCCATAAAGCCATGATTACAAAGATTATTCATGTCGCGGAAAATGGCTGAAGATATGGTGTGGCATGCCCAACAACGTGTCAGCTGACAGTGAAGCTTGGGGAGTTTTGGACCAGTGTGGTGCTTCTTTTGGTTCTGACTCTCACAACGTCCGATTAGGATTAGCAACGGTTGGATTCAATCCATTTGGCAACATGAATAACAAGCACAATACATCGCTAGTCATTCTATTCTCGTATAACTTTCCACCGTGGTTATGCATGAAGAGTATATATCTGTTATTGACATTGTCCATTCCTGGTCCGAAAAGTCTAGGAAATAATATTGATATCTATCTGCGACCCCTCATTAATGATCTGAAGTCATTGTGGAGTGATGGAATATGACTTATGATGCATTCAAGCAAGTGAATTTCAACATGAAAGCTGCAGTTTTGTGGACTATCAATGATTTTCCGGCATATGGTCTCCTTTCTGGTTGGAGTACAAAAGGCAAATTGGCATGCCCTTCGTGTGCAGGCAACACATCATATTTGAGGTTGAATAATGGACACAAGGAATGTTACATGGATCATTGCGGTTTTTTGCCATCATACCATAAATGGCACAGGCAGAAGAAGGAATTTAATGGCATTGTATAAAAAAGTCATGCATCAGAGCGATTATCATCTCAAGAGGTAAAATTCAACTTCTCTCATTTGAAACAATAACTTTCGACAGTAAGGGAAAGGGCAAAAAAATCAAAGAGTTCGACAAAACTGATAATTGGAAAAAGAAGTATATTTTCTTTGAGTTGCCATATTGGTCATTACTCTTAGTACGCTACAATTTTGATGTCATGCATATAGAGAAAAATGTCTGTGATAGTATTCTTGGTACTATTATGAATACTGAGGGCAAAACAAAGGATGGTTTAAGTGCCCGTCGTGATATGGAGGAGATGGGTACAAGAAAAGAACATCATCTTGTTGAGAGAAATGGGAAAACAGAGTTACCTAGAGCTGCATATAGCTTGATGGTAGCAGAGAAGGAATCTTTGTGTCAATGGCTAGCAAAAGTGAAGGTACTAGATGCTTACTCCGCAAGTTTGACGTGTTTTGTCAATATTGATGATCGGAAGATATATGGATGAAAACTCATGATTGCCATGTGTTCTTGGAGAGGTTATCACTGTTGGCCGCCCGTGACTTATTTCCGAAGGTTATATCGGATACATTGATTGAGTTTAGGAAATTTTCAAGGACATATGTTCCAAGGAGCTAAACGTGGAAGATTTGAATTATCTTGGAATCTCAAATTGCCATAATCCTATGTAAGTTGGAACGTACTTTTCCCTTGCCTTATTCGGTATAATAACCCACTTGTCCATCCATTTGCCTTGGGAGGCCAAAGTTGTTGGTCCAGTTCAGCATCGGTAGATGTATCCCATTGAAAGGTATGATATATAATTACCCTAAATTGCTTATATATAATAACATTTTAGAAACTTTATGAAGTTAATTTGACATTTTTTTCAACAATTTAGGTATCTGAAGAAGTTAAAAGGTTACGTTCGTAACAAGGCACGTCCAGAGGGATCAATCGTCGAAGCTTATATTGTCAACCAATGTGTCACATTTTGCTCGCAGTATTTGACTGGAAAGGATACTATATTTAATCATCCAGAGAGAAATGTAGATAAATCTGCATCGTCTTCGCAGCCTCATGAAGTATCAGTTGTCTCGGGTGTCAGTCGTGCCATTGGTGTAAAGGACGACATGAGAGACTTCAATACTGATTTGTGGAAGGCGGCAACTTCTTATGTTCTACAAAACTGTGATGAGGTGCAAGATTTTATAAGGTACATATACATACCAATTTTTTATTTATTGTATGCTAGAATATAATTTATTTTTAATTAATAACATATATTGTGCAATTACGGAACTCACAAGGAACAACTAAGTACTCGAATGCACAATGATAAAGTGTCAATTAATAACATAATTTATTTTTTCTTGCAATTATTGCAGATTACACGAATGCACAATGATAAAGTGTAAGGTTTGAATCCTTCTTTGTTATCCTTAGCTCGAGAGCCAGACAAACAAGTCATGCGATACACAGGCTATTGTATCAATGGATTCAGATTTCACACTTGTACTCGCGAGTTAATCAAAAGCAGTCAGAACAGTGGTGAGAGGGGAGAACGATAGTGGAATTCCTTACTATGGCGTTCTTATCGATATCATCGAGCTTCGTTATACTGAAGGGCTTTGAGTTGTACTATTTCACTGTGAGTGGTATGATACCGCTCGTGAGGGCGTTGGTTACAAGAAGGTTGGACACGACACTATTACCATCAACACAATGTGAAGTTTTAATGGTGTCAAAAATAGTTTTTCCTGACCAATTAGTACTGACTACTGATGAACCTGATTTGGCATAAAAAATGTTTTTTTACCAAATAGTATTTACAAACT